CCCTCTCTAGCCCAGTGATAGTGAACAAGTTTAACCAGCGCGAGGCCATGGGTTCGAGTCCCCCTCGTGCATATTTTTTATTAACCAGTGGTAGTGCCTATCAAATGGGTCCCTCCTGTCAATATGTGCCCCACCGCTGTATTGAATATTAACATTTAAGCAAAATTGACACCTAGACAATGACACAAAAGCGAGAGGTGGCTGCCTAATCATCCTAATGCATTCGAACTCAAGTGTAGTGACCATTTTATACTGGTCGTTATCAGCTGGGCGTGAGGCAGTGGACAGTGCTGCCCACTTTGCAACCATTTCCTCTAATGCAATTACGACCTTTCTGACCAAAATGGTCATTATGGTTTAGGGTTTGGAGGCCCCTGAACAGCTTTTGACCAATTGATCTAAAATGGTCATAAATTTATGACCAATTATTCCAGGGTCACTGACAGAAGGTCACAAGTTGACATATTCCTTGTAGTGGCTAGGGATCAAACCCTAAAAAAATTAACTTGATTACATGGTAAATCTCATCCAACCCATCACCATCCAGCAAGCCTACGATGGAATTACTCACGCACGGCGGTGAGCATCATGAAATTGGTGATGGAGGATGGTTGATGATGACGATGGCGACGGATTCCCCTCTCCGGATCCCCGAACGGACTCCAGATCAGCCCTCCCGGGGAAGAACATGGCTTGGCGGTGGCTCCGTATCGCAAAACGCAATGAATCCATCTTTCTGATTTTTTTTCTCCACGAACGTGAATATATGGAGTTGGAGTTGAGGTCGGTGGAGCTCTAGGGGGCCCACGAGGCAGGGGGCGCGCCCTAGGGGGGCACCCCCACCCTCATGGCTAGTGTGTGGCCCCCCTTTTGTTGATTCTTTTGCCAGTATTTTTTATGAATTCGAAAAAGTGACTCTGTGAAGTTTGAGGTCATTCCGAGAGCTTTTGTTTCTGCACAAAATTAACACAATGGCAATTCTACTGAAAACATCGTCATTCCGGGTTAGTTCCATTCAAATCATGCAAATTATAGTCCAAAACAAGGGCAAAAGAGCTTGGAAAAGTAGATACGTTGGAGACGTTTCAAGGATTCTGTCATTAGGGCATCCACGTATCTTCTGTACTTCCAATCCTCGAGGGCATAAAACCTTCTTTTCTTTGTACGTACTGTCGGGCAATTCGTTGTCCTTTGGAAGATTCTTCTTCAATATTTTCAGTAGCTTCTCAAATCCGTTGTCTGATACACCATTGTCTGCCTTCCATTGCAGCAATTCCAGTGTGGTACCAAGTTTTGTGTTGCCATCTTCGCAATTGGGGTACAACCCTTTTTTGTGATCCTCTAACATGCGATCGAACTTCAACTTCCCCTATTCACTTTTGCATTGTCTCTTTGCATCAACAATCAACCGGCGGAGATCATTATCGGGCACATCGTCTGGTTCCTCTTGATCTTCAGCTTCCCCCGTTGCAGCATCACGGTATTCAGGGGGGCGCATAGTTGTGATCATTCTCTTCTTCTTTGTTGTCTTCCATCATAATCCCTCTATCTCCATGCTTGGTCCAAACATTATAGTGTGGCATGAAACCCTTCTCAAGCAGGTGGATGTGAAGGGTTTTCGCGTCAGTGTAAGACTTCATATTCCCACAGATAGGGCATGGACAACACATAAAACCATTCTGCTTGTTTGCCTCAGCAACTTCGAGAAAATTATGCACGCCCTTAATGTACTCGGAGGTGCGTCTGTCACTGTACATCCATTTTAGGTTCATCTGCGTGCATTATACATAATTAAGTGTGGCAAAAACCATTACAGAACATCATGAATAGAGAAGTGACCAAATTAATAGAAGTTCATCATCACATTAAAACCAAAGTACAGTAGTGCTCAAATGTTATTACTGAAAAAATAATACATAAATTTCATACATAGTTCTCATTGAACAACACATAGCTCTCTAGAGCATCTAATTGAACCATACATTGAAACTATGTAAAACATTTCTATGCAACAATAAATGCGATCATAATCGCAACTATGTTAACAATTGATCCAACGGCATAATGATACCAAGCATCGGTATGGATGTCATATTTTTTAGTATTTCTAATCTTCAAGCGCATTTTATCCATCTTGATCTTGCGATCATTGACGATATCCGCAACATGCAACTCCAATGCCATCTTCTCCTCCTCAATTCGTTTCAATTTTTTCTTCAAGTAATGATTTTCTTATTAAACTAAATTTAACCTCTCGGCAAGAGGGTTGGTTGGAATTTCCAGCTCACATACCTCCTAGATAAAACATCTATGTCACGTTGCTCGGCATAATTGTCATAAACACCAAATGAAACAAATAGTTATAAAAGATAATATATACCATATCCGAATCATAGATAGTACGAGGGCCAACGGGGGCGAATACCAAAACCATCGCACTATATAATAACAAACAATAATAAAAGTAAGAAAATTATAGAAGTATCAATAAAAATCATACAAGTAAGATTTTTTTATTTTAAAAATGAGATAAGAACAAGAGGCTCACCACGGTGGTGCCGACGACGAGATCGGCGCGGGCAATCGACAGCGGTGAAGACGGAGATGGGACAGGACGGACCGTCAAAACTAGACAAATCTTGAGGAAAATGGAGTTTGGACAAGGAGCTTTGAGAGGGGAAAGCTTAAGTGTGGCTCGGGCATTTCATCAAACACCTCATGTGCATAGAAGGTGAGCTAGAGCACTAAAAAGCTCTCCCACGGCCGGCCAAAAAATAGAGCAATGCACTGCTCTACTCACGGGCAGGGGGTATATATAGGCCTCTCTTTAGTCTTGGTTGGTGGCTAAAACAGGGACTAAAGGATCACATTTGGTCCCGGTTTCATACACCAACCGGGACTAAAAGTTGTGGGCCAGGAGCAAGGCCCATTGGTCCCGGTTCTTATCTGGAACAGGGACCAAAGGGGTAAGACGAACCGGGACCAATGGCCCTCGAGGCCTGGCCGGCCCCTTGGCCTCACGAATCGGGACTAACGCCCCCTTTGGTCCCGGTTCGTGAGTGAACCGGGATCAATTCCCTTACCCAGGCCTCAACCAAAGCCATGTTTTCTATTAGTGGAAAATGTCCTTCTCAGAGCACGTAAGTTGGTCAGACACGCCAGAATAAAAATAGAACGAATTTTTTAGATATCTATCATCATTGATGTGTTCAAAAGGTGTGTCAGCGACAACAAGTGGGCAAAAAGGTTTCATTAACTTGGCATATGTGCTTCTAACTTTCATCATGTTGATTAGTATTGCACATCTACGTGCCTTTAAATTTAGCAAGAAGAGGATCTATTGTTAAACGGTAATCTTGTTCTGCTCGAGCATGTATTGTTAATTGTCTACCTCACTATAGTTTGTCGGACAGTAAAGTTATTCCATCAGTCGTGTGAACTTGGCTCCCTCCTTTGTCTCTCATAAAGATTCTTTTAGTCCACTTACTTGGCTGCCTCATTTTGTCTCAAATAGAGATTCTTTTAGCCCACTTGACTGATGTTCTCTGAATGGTTCCAGTCATGCTCAAACATAGTACATGTTAAATATCCCTTCATTTCACCAGTAAATCAGCACCTAGGTACCTTAGTTTCAACTTTCAAGCATGGAGGAGCCCCTTGTTGACAAGACAGGAGAGGAGAGCCTGGTAGTGATCGAGGTGAAGAAGCAGTTGTACCTTGCCGGGCCTCTCATCGTCGGAAGCCTCCTACAGGATGTGGTCCAAATGATATCCGTCATGTTTGTGGGTCATCTCGGCGAACTCGCTCTCTCGAGTGCCTCCATCGCAACCTCCTTCGCCGGTGTAACTGGCTTCAGCTTGTTGGTATGACAATTATTTCCCTTTTTCCATTGATCGATGCACCAATTTAATTGGGCCTCCTGGACATCATCATCAACCTGAATGCTTGCATTGAATTTCAGTCTGGCATGTTGAGCAGCTTGGAAGCGCTGTGTGGGCAAGCCTTTGGAGCAAAGCAGCACCATCTTCTTGGCATCTACAAGCAGAGGGCAATCCTTGTGCCCACTGCAGTGAGCGCCTTGGTTGCTGTAATCTGGGGATACACCGGTCAGATCCTCCTGTTGTTTGGACAGGACCCTGAGATTTCCATTGAAGCAGGGAGCTACATCTGATGGTTGATTCCGTCGTTCTTTGTCTACGGTCCGCTGCAGTGCCATGTCCGGTTCCTGCAGACGCAGAACATGGTCCTTCTGCTGATGTTGAGCTCGGGCGTCACAGCACTCAACCACATCTTGGTGTGCTGGCTGCTGGTCTACAAGCTTGGTCTGGGCAACAAGGGTGCTGCCTTGGCCAATACAATCTCCTACCTCACCAATGTGTCCATCTTGGCTCTCTACATCAGATTATCTCCATCTTGTAAGAGCTCGTGGAGGAGGTTGTCGACGAAGGCATTTCATGACATCCTCGGTTTCTTGAGGCTTGCCGTCCCATCTGCGCTCATGGTTTGCTGAGTTTGATGTCTATGTGCTATATGTCGCAAGTGCAAACTTGACATTTTTGATGATTTAAGTAATTCCGTCTGACATACATATATATTTACACAAGCAGCTGGGAGTGGTGGTCGTTTGGGATCCTTGTACTTATTTCCGGATTTCTTCCAAATCCAAAACTTGAGGCATCAGTACTGTCAATCAGGTGAGGCCGTGAGGTGACATATTCAAGAATGGCTAATTTCATTCCATACAACTTGGTTTGCTATTTTTCCCATTTTTGACAGTAACATGCAATTGAATTTCTTGCAGTTTGAATACTATCTCTATTCAGGGTCCCATATGGGCTTAGTGCTGCTATAAGGTCAGCTCAAACTCATAAGCCTTTAACTATTATACAAAATAGAAGCTGATATGTATCAAATCCTTTATCTACGTACGTAGCGGCCGTGTGTCAAATGAGCTAGGTGCTGGGAGACCGAATGCAGCCCGTTTAGCGACCCAGGTGATCATGGTCCTGGGTGTTGTGTCAAGCATATCAGTTTCTCTTGCTATCATTTTGGTGCGCTATCTATGGGGGTATGCATACAGCAACGACAAGGAAGTGGTGGAGTACATTTCAAAAATTATGCCAATTATTGCCGTGGCATTCTTTTTTGATGACATGCAGTGTGTTCTTTCAGGTATTGTAAGGAAGATCCTATAGTTTTCGTACATGCTGGAAATATAAGGTTATTAATTACCACATTTTACATGTATTGTTAGGGGCTGTGGCTTTCAAAAGATTGGCTCCTATGTCAATCTCAGTGCGTACTACCTCGTGGGCATCCCGGCGGCTCTATGTTTTGCCTTTGTGTGCCATCTTGGTGGAGTGGTAATCAGTAGTACTATTTTACTACCCTTATATATGGCCTTATCACTAATACTTTTACTATCATCTTTGTGTTCACTTGTAGTATTTCTCACTTGACATAACGAGACGTCATGTAAAATATGTTAGGGGTTGTGGATGGGAATAACCGCGCACTTGTCGTGCAGACGGTTGTTCATGTCCCTTACTCTGCGCACCAACTGGGACAAAGAAGTAAGACCACCAAATATTATCTGTTTTGTTCGCTCCTCATTCACCTTACTACATGCATGTCCCATTATCTTTAATTTGTGTCGTTGCTTATTTTGGTAGCTTCGAAGGCCAGGGACAGGGTTTCTATTACCTCCATTCCTCTGGACTTGGCGACATGAGGACACACACAAGATGTACATTTTTTTCTGCCAGAGAGATGTGCAGGGAAATATTGAAATGACAAAGAATTCGTCAGAAAAATGGTGCTTCTTGTCCATGTCATCAGCATGTGTCACTCCTTGGAGGAAATAATAAAATGTTTGTTGACTGGCATCCGCCATATATTACTAGACTATTTTCTTCATGAAAGAATATAATGGCAATGAAAGTGTAGTGAAAACTGCTAGTCCATTTACGTTGTCAAATCCCGCACACAAAAATTGTTCCAGCAAGTGTCAAAGAAAATACATGGCATCAGAGACAATCCAACATGGAAAGGAAGTTAAAGCCGATAGTGGGAGGTTTTCACTTGTATTTTAGCAGTGTGATGAAGGGGTGAGTTGTTTTTTCGCTGGATAGCTTGAAGGAGGGAGACGCTCCTTTCAAGACAATAAAGGCCCGTCTACAGCTATATGATAAAATGCCTTGCGTTACTTTGCTTATTTGTTTTGACATATATAATATGACCCGTTTTACTTTGTCCATTTGATAAAAATTTCCTGTTTTAATTTTCACAAGTTTCTCTCTCTAATCTCACACCTACAATGATTTTTATTATGCTTGACATATCTAACCTCTCTCCTCTCTAATCTCACATGCAATGACCGTTTTACCCCCACCTTTGTTTCGCTCCTCTTTTCCTAACTGTTCATGTGGACTTTGTTTGCATGCGAATATCGTGTTTCATTGCTGCCAATATTACTGTCGTGTGTCATAGAGTTGGTTTAGAAAATGTTGTCAAATTTCTACAAATCCTGGCATATTGTAACCAAGATCATAAAATTAGGATTTTGGATAAAACTTGAACGTCCCAGAAAAATATGGAAATATCCATAAAACAAATTGCATTATTGTGATTACACTCAAATTTCATCTCATTCTAAGTTACAGTTGGAAAGAAACTTGAATCTGAAGTTTATGTCAATTTAAACTTAGTTTTTTAGTAAAATTGAAAACTATACATAGGCCTGTAAAAAAAAATTGGATTGCCAACCTGACCTCGTTGGACGGGTGTTGCATGGACGTTGTATCATTTGAGAAGGCAGCATATGCATGAAGATGTTTTCTTTTGGTCATTTATGCCCTAATTCTTGTCAAGCACATATGAGTATATCCAAAGAGATTCTTACTAACGCACTAACTCAGAGACGCGGGCTGCAGGTCAGCGGGTGGCGGCGTGAAGGGGCTGAGGCATGGTGGGGGGCGGTGGGCTCCGGCGGCGCTGACCCTGTTGGCATCCGGCCAGATTTGGACCCAGGCGCCGCAGGACGGGAGCGGCGCAAGCTACAGGCGTCTGCCTCTGCCGTGGCTATGGCTGGTAGAGGCGGAGGCGCAAGGGCGGTGGCAGGTGGGCGGGTTGCTTGGTTTCCAGGCGTCCTGCCGGCTGGATGGCGACGGTGGCGCAGTCGGACTCCCCGGTGAGCTTCGTCGGGGGTGGGCGGCGGTCCTGGTGGGCACTCCTTGCCGGTGGCTGGGGCTGTGTTGGTGGCCTTGCGCGCCTCTGCACTAGAGGCCGAGGCGGGGCGACTCAGGGGTGTGTCCGGGGGCAGGGATTGGGCTGGAGTGATGGGCGGTGCCGATGTTCTCGAGCCCCCGTCACCGGCACAGGGGTGTGACGGTCTGCATGCGTCCGCTCCCCCACAAGACAAGGAAACCTTGAGGAACCTTATTTCTGCTTTGGACCTCTGGTCTCATCGTCTTGTGAATTCACAAGACAAGGATGACGTCTTCTTGTGGCGCTCCTACCTCTCTGCACGTTGCACCGTGCCTATGTAATTATGTACTCACTCCAACGGCAGTC